GACAGGATTCTGGTAGACATATTATGTCCTGATCTGAAACCAGTCTGTTCTTCCGGTGGAATACCATTATCCCAAAACTATTGACGAAAGTGTATAAGAAACAATTTCTCAAACAACTTCGAAAAACATGAAAGTAATGAAATTGGGCGTGTATCATCTATATCCACTATTGACGTTTTCGTCTTGAGCAACAGTATCATTCTTGCAGCAAGCCAAGGACGAGAAAAACATACATTTTTTAGCCATAAAATTAAAAGCGGAAGTAATGCATGTCAGATGAAGTGAAGGTAGGAGTTATATAATTCTGTTTGATACACCATCTAATCCTATGGAGTTCTTGTTCTTTAATAATAAAACAGCTTTTTTAACATCAATGAATTTAATACTAATACAATCTAATATCAAATTTTTAAGTTCTTTATCCAGTTCTTGATCAACTACATAAGCTTCGATTTCCACCACAGATTGATTATTTTCATGTTCAGAAAATTGTTCTGTATAAAATTGCTTGGCTATATCATAGATTTCCACTGGAGATGTGATAACTACACCATTGTGTAGAATACCTTCCATTGGTAAACAATAAGATTTTCGCCAATTATTTGTGATAATCCAGAGGTGTATTGGCGAAAGTTCACTGGAAATTCGCCAATGGCAAAAGTTTAGTTTGCGAAATTCCTATTGGCGAACGTCCGGTAACCCCAATAAGAGGAGAAATGTCGCCGAGCTTTTCGCCAAAACTGTCGAATATCACATGAATTAAGAGATTTACAACATTTACTCCACATATTCCTTTGGTGTAGAACCATACCTTTTCGTATTTGTTGCGAAAGCAACTTTAATTGTGCAATATGATGTGGATGCTTGACTCTTCTAATAAGATGTAGATAATGCCGTTTGTGCTGTATTACATCAACTATCTGAGGTGATATCGAAGATTTGTATGATTTGCAATAAGATATGTAGGTTAATCAATAAGAAGATAAGGACAAAAAACTTTCATAAAGACCGAAAAATTCTACTTTGTCGAATATAGTTGTAGATAAATTGTCCCAAAAAGGAAGATGTAAAAGTGATAAAGACTTTATATAACGTCCAATAGCTACCGTTAATAGGAAGAAAACGATCTTTCCATGGTATTTTGAATGGAAATGACCAAAGGATAGGATAATGATTACCTCCAATAGATGGAAGTACAGAAAAAAAACCAAAAAAAAATGTTCATAGGTGCTAATATAAGGTCAATCACTGCATTTGATCGTGTTGAAGTAGGAACAAATTTATTAATAACTTGAAAATAATGTTCATTTAACCATTCAAATAAAAGACGTCCTTCTTGATTCCCTGTTGTACTGAAACACGACTCACGATTAGCATTTAAATCACCAAGTAAGATAGTATTTGAATTATCATGTAGTATATAATTAAAAAGA